ATTGTGTCCAGTTCTGGGCCCCCCACTACAAAAAGGATATGGACGCATTGGAGAGAGTCCAGCGGAGGGCAACCAAAATGATTAGGGGGCTGGAGCATATGACTTATGAGGAGAGGCTGAGGGACTTGGGTCTGTTTAGTCTGCAGAAGAGAAGAGTGAGGGGGGATTTGATAGCAGCCTTCAACTTCCTGAAGGGAGGTTCCAAAGAGGATGGAGAGAGGCTGTTCACATTAGTGATGGATGGCAGAACAAGGAGCAATGGTCTCAAGTTGTGGTGGGAGAGGTCCAGGTTGGATATTAGGAAAAACTATTTCACTAGGAGGGTGGTGAAGCGCTGGAATGGGTTGCCTGGGGAAGTAGTGAAGTCTCCATCCCTAGAGGTGTTTAAGTCTCGGCTTGACAAAGCTCTGGCCAGGTTGATTTAGTTGGAATTGGTCCTGCCTAGAGCAGTGGGCTGGACTTGATGACCTTCTGAGGTCTCTTCCAGTTCTATGATTCTATGAATATAGCTGAATCATCACTAGCTCCAGAATAAAACCACAATAAACTACAGTACCCAGCTGGGGAAGTGAAGATAAAGCCAGGTGCATACCCAGAAGTCACCTACTATAGGACAGACCCAACCAAGAAAGCAATAGAATGTCACTAGCCCTTACCTACAGCCCTCAGCTAAAAACTCTCCTATGCATCATCAAGCATCTACAGAGGCAGCAGAGTGGGGCGGCAGGTAGGAGCAGATATGTGTGGGGAGACATCTTAAAAGCCATCTCCCTGTGTGTACTAGCTTCTGGGGCAGCCACATGCTGCCCTGCGCTTACATAGGCAGCAGCGTGGAGCGGCAGGCAAGAGCCGCCCTACACGTAACTGTGTAACTGCTGACATTTTCAGTGGTTACATAATTAGTTACAGGCATTTTAGCATCCCTACTTAACACCCCACAACAGAAACACTAATCCGGGAAACTGTCCCTGCAAAAAACCCGTTTGCCAGCTCTGTCAACATATCTACCCTACTGACACCATCACAGGACCTAACCACATCAGCTATACCATCAAAGGTTCATTCATGTGCCCATCTGCTAATGTAATATACACCATCTTGTGCCAACAATGCCCCTCTGCCATGCACATAGGACAAACCAGACTGTCTCTATGCACAAGAATAAATAGACACAAATCAGACATTAAAAATGGCAACATACAAAAACCTGTGGGGAAGCACTTTAACTTCCCTGGGCACACAGTTTCTTAGGGTACGTCTACACTACACACTTATTTTGAAATAAGCTATTCTGGAATAGTTATTCCAAAATAGCTTATTTTGAAATACGACATCTACACAGCAGGGAGGCCTCAAAATTAGTCTCAGGCAGGTTTCCCTAATGTAGACATGCTATCTTGATTTAGAGCCCCAGGGGGCACTGGGGAGGAATAACTCAGAATGGCCCTGATGATGGGCTATTTCAAAATAGCAGCAGTGGAGCATCTACACTTGTCTTATTTTGAAATAGCTACTTTGGAAGAGGCATTATTCCTCATAGAATGAGGGTAATAGATTTTGAAATAAGCTGTCCATTATTTTGAAATAATGGAATGGCTGTGTAGACGCTTGCATTGTTATTTCAAAAACACTAGTTATCTTGAAAAAATGGTGCAGTGTAAACACACTGTTAGTTTCAAGTTCCTATTCTCAGGCACAAAAAAGTCAAAACCAGACTGTTCATGATACCATCTACATTTTTGTTCGTCTCTAAGGTGCTGCAGACATACTAGTTGTTTTTTAAATACTGCAACAAGAAACTGCTGGAATTCATATGCAAATTTGACTCCTTGAAAAAAAGTTTAAACAGAAAAATGGAGTGGTTCTCCCATTACAACAGGTCATTTCCCAGTCAGGTACTCTCACCTTCTCATCACTCCTGGAAGTGAGCCACATCCACTCTGATTTAATAAGCGCTGATGTCGCATCCTTCACATCAAATGGCAAGACTTTGTCACAAATGAGGAGCTTTGGAACAGAGCAGGACAAGAACCACTTGATGTTCAAATCAAGAGAAGAAAGTGGGGATGGCTAGGCCACACTCTCAGAAAACCATCATCCAGCAAAGTCCGTCAAGCTCTCACATGGAACCCACAAGGAAAATGCAAAAGAGATAATGTGAAGAAGATCTACTGAGACTGAGGGACAACAACTGGGGTACTCCTGGAGTCAGCTAGAAGTTTTGTCTCAAGACAGAGTGAAGTGGAGGAGACTTGTAGATGACCTATGTTCCATTCGGAGTACAAGGCTGTGTCTAGACTGGCAAGTTTTTCTGTAAAATCAGCCGCTTTTCCAGAAAAACTTGCCAGCTGTCTACACTGGCCGCTTGAATTTCCGCAAAAGCACTGACTACCTACTGTAAGAAATCAACGCTTTTTGTGGAAATACTATGCTCCCGTTCAGGCAAAAGTCCCTTTTGCGCAAAACTTTTGTGCAAAAGGGCCAGTGTAGACAGCTCAGATTTGTTTTCCGCAAAAAAGCCCCAATCGCGAAAATGGCGATTGGGGCTTTTTTGTGCAAAAGCGCATCTAGATTGGCCACGGACGCTTTTCCGCAAAAAGTGCTTTTGCGGAAAAGCATACTGCCAATCTAGACGCACTTTTCCGAAAATGCTTTTAACGGAAAACTTTTCGGAAAATCATGCCAAGTCTAGACATAGCCCAAGGGTTTAAGAAGAAGAAGAAGATGTCACACTTCCATCTCTGTGTCCCTTTTTTTCTTTTCTTTTCTCATTAGCCTCTGAGGAAGTGAGTTATAGCTCACAAAAGCTTATCCCCTATTAAATGTGTTAATCTATAAAGCTCCTTGTTGTTTGTATGTGAAGTTATGAAATATTGCAATGTTTGTTATTGAAGTATGTGGTAAGTGGGACACACCCACAGCTAGCCTTTTGGCAGCAATAAAGGAACAACTGACAAGAAAGATTGACATCTGGATTGGCCAGACAGGTCTTGATGGGGCTCATTAAAGGGACTCCACTCTCCCAATAGCCATCTAAGAAACAGAGGGCATGTGGAGGCAGCCTAATTCATGTGACGCAGCAACTATCTTTCTAGCAGCTGGAGGAAAGTATAAAAGAGGGACAGTGACATCAGCACTTGGCCTCTTTTTCATCCCCCATCTTAACACCTGGATGATCACCTGTAAAACAAAGACATTGAATTGGGGAGGTTGGTCCCAAGCTGAGAGGGACTTCAGCCTGTGTAATAAGAACTGTAAACTGTCTGGAACATCTAGTGGGGTGAGAAAACCTGCTTGATTCAAATTTTGCTTAGTCTGTTAAAGTTAGAATTTAGATTGTGATTCTATTTTTATTTCTTAGGTGACCTCTGGGCCTAACACTTATAAACACTTAATACATTTAAAAAAAATATTTAAAGTACAGAACTTTCATCCTTAGTGAATCAGTCTAACGTGCCTGTGGAATTTGCTCAGGTTACAAAGGTCTAGTGCATGTCCATGTTCATTTTCACAAAGTGGCAAACAGACTGCAAGTAGTAGAAAAAGAGAGAGAGAGAGAGAGAGCATGTTTTCACTATGGGTTGGATGACAGGCAGCAATTGATCCAGCATGTGTAGTATAGATGGGCTAAATCAACAACTGATTGCTCTTCTGTAGCCTCTGGTACTCCATCTCAATGAGAAGTGTAAGGGAAGTTGACAGAAGAGTGTCTCCAGTCTACATACTAGTGAAGACGCTACGGCAAGGGAGCTGACAAGCTTGCGGAGGCCCTGGGTAAGGTGGGGGTGGGGGTCCATGTTCCCAGAAGGAGTGGGCCTCGAGCAGAAGGGATGGGCCGCAGGCTGGAGCAACTATCTGTGCTGCCTAGACAAGGCTGTGTCCCTCCTCCCACTGCTGTGCAAGGCTCCAGTTGCAATTTAAAGGGCCTGGGGCTCTGACCACTGCCAGAGTAGAAGCAGGGGCAGCTGGGAGCCTTTTTGAATAGCCAGGCTCTGGGGCACTTGCCCCCTTTGCCCCTCCTCATCTAAGTACATCAGTTTCAGTTGCATTATTCCCGTGGCTGAAGTTGCATAACTTAGATTGATCTCACAATAGTGTAGACCAGCCACATGAGCATCAGCTGAGAATTAAAGAACTGGAGATAAAGGAGAATGAGAGAGAAACTGAGGCCCAGAAAGAAGCTGAAGCGTTACCACATCAATGGGCCCAAGAACTGAAAGCCAAAGAAACTGAGGCCCAGAAATGAGCCAGGGGAAATAAGGATGCTGGCACAATGGTCCCACAGCTCCAGCTTGTAACTGGGGGCATGTCCCAGAGAGGCACATGCGTTGTGGGCCTGGATTGAGGGCACCATCCCCCCATTATGGGGGTGGGGGCTGAGGCATGGAGGGGCAATGTGGGAAGTGTTCCCTGAGATGGCTGGGTGAGGATGTCCTTAGGCAGGGAGTGGTGCCCACCACGTTTCTGCAATGAAAGAGCATGGGGATGCCCCAAGGCTGGTGCTGATGTCCATGGTTGGTTGTGGTGGTGGGGGGACTGTACCCAACATACTCCAGCAGGGGTCTGGGTAGGGATGTCCCCAGCAGTGTGTGCCCTTCCATATTCTTGCAAGGGACTGGTGAGGATGCCCTGGGGGGGAATGTATATGCCCCCTATACTCCTTTAGGGGTTTGGTAGGGGATGCCCGGGGGGGGGGGGA